TCGTCGGTTTGCCCTCTTTTTATGGTCATGACTAGGTTTCCAGTTTCGTCAGAAAAGGAAAGAAAGATTTCTGGAAAACGATGTTGAAACGCCAAGAATATATTTACCTGTTTGCTGAGCTAGGCAACAGTCCTTTATGTTCCTGTTCATATTTCACAAGGCTTAGAATCGTTTGTTTGTGCATTATATGGAAGCCATGCTATGTCATCAGTCAACAAAGTACGACATAAGATCTTGCAAAGGTATGAAAAAGAGAAGAAAAAACTAATCGACATAAGAAACTTGCCTCCTTGTCAAACCAAATTATGCTGCATCGATTTTCAGGAAAGCTAACCACACTTGATCCTCGATCTGGAAAGGCCCACTAATCACGGCTGGGATGAAAGAGGGGAAGTTATCTGAAGCAGTGTTTGTTTCCCTGACGATGTTAGCGAATTGTTAGTTGGCCAGGAAGTAGAAGATGAAGATGAGCTTGATTTCGTGCAAAACAGTGGATAAACTTGAAGACGACTTTCATGACGTGATGGAGGTGAAGGAGGATTAAGATTATATATATATATATATATATATATATATATATATATATATATATATATATAAAATTATAAATTTTACAAAATTATACAGTGTTCACCGGATTGTAATAATTTGTTTTGAGCTTTCGACTCGGTACTTCGAGCCTTCATCAGAAAGATTGTTCACTTGAATTTTCGTGCTGTTGTTGACGTTGTTGAAGTCTGTGGGAACGCCTGATTGGTTGATGGATTTCAGTATGTTGGTTGCCATTAGCTACTATCGAATGCTGGTGATTATTGTTATCATGAGACGGTGTAGGGAAGGAAGTTGAGGGTGGGTTAAAGGTTAATGAAGATGAATTAGGAGATTTGTGAGAGCGTTTCAGTTGTAAGTAAATTGTAGGGATGTCAATGTGACGGTTACGGCCACGCTTCTTTAAACTCACGGGCATGTTTAGTAGTTGCTTGTCCTAGGCATCTCGTTTGAGACCAGTCGAATTTGTGTCCGTTGTCGTTTGTGTGTTTAGCTGGAAGTGAGCTATGGTTGTGTCTGTTGATTGCGTTCTGGTGTTCTGTTAGTCTTGTCTGAATCTTTTTAGAAGTTTGTCCAATGTACTTATCCGGACAGTTTTTGCACGGGAAGATATAAATGGCGTTATGTTTATCCGTTATATGTGTCTTGTCTTTGTGTTTAGTGAAGTTGGATCTAAGTTTGGATGTTGGTTTGTTTTTCTCTACCTGGATCCACCACCTACAAATTGTCAAAATACCTCGCTGATATCCTCAAACCTCTGGTGAGTAAATCACCACACTCTGTTAAGAATGTTGACGCCTTTCTGTCGAAAGTAAAAGACATCCACGTTGAACCTGATGAAATCATGATTTCCTTTGATGTTGTCTCTTTGTTCACTTCCATCCCACTTGACACTGCACGACCAATAACTGAAAAACTACTTACTAACAATACTTCGTGGCAAACAAAGACAGAACTTAATATACAAGATATTCTTGGTTTACTTGACCTATGCCTTTCAACTGAATTCTGCTTCCAGAACAATTACTATACCGACAAATCTCCGGCACTCCTATGGGGTAACCACTTTCCAGTTTCCTTGCTGAGGCAGTGATGCAAAATCTGGAAAGTAAAGCTGTTACAAACATTGACGACATTAAAACATGGGACAGATATGTAGACGATGTACTTGCTACTATCAAAATGGACAAAACAGATGACATCCTACTAACTATTAACAACACCACTAAGAACATCAAATTTACCAAAGAGGAAGAACATGACAACAAACTCGCATTTTTGGACGTCCTAATAACAAAAACAGACAACGGCACTTTAACCACACAAGTTTATCGCAAGAAAACACACACTGATCAAATTTTAAATTACAACAGCAATCACCCAACACAACACAAAAGTCAGTTGCATAAACACTCTATTCAACAGAATTGACGCACATTGTAACACTGATCAATCCAAACAAGACGAACGCAAGTATTTATGCTCTACTTTTTACAAAAATGACTACACAGCAAAAAATCACTTTCTTACTTTAAGAAAAAAAAAACTTATTTTAAGAAAATTTTCTTAAAATAAGTCCAAATTTTCTTGGGAGACTGGTAAGAAAATTTTCTTACTAATTTTCTTAAGAATTTTTTTCTTAAGAAAATCATGAGATTTTTCTTAAAATAAGAATACCAATTTCTTATTTTAAGAATATTTTTTTCTTTAAAAATTCTTATTTTAAGAAAATTTTCTTAAAATAAGTCCAAATTTTCTTGGGAGACTGGTAAGAAAATTTTCTTACTAATTTTCTTAAGAATTTTTTTCTTAAGAAAATCATGAGATATTTCTTAAAATAAGAAAACTCAATTTCTTATTTTAGGAATATTTTCTCTTTAAAATTTCTTAGTTTAAGGAAGAGGTATATTATTTTTATTTTATAAGGACCAACAAGTTATAGTAATGATATATCGATTATAGACTGGAAGCAATTATAAAGAATACATGGCACCTTGCATGCAATAGTTTATACTGTATATAAAAGTTCAACTTCTATACTACATGATATTCATCATACAGTACATACTGTATTAGTACCAGCCTATTCCATATCAACTTTGAAACTCTGGTAGCTTGTCATCGTCGACTTAAACAAATTGGCAATGTCTTGTGGCACATTTGTGTCTTAAAAATCTAATGCTGAAAAACATTCAAACCAATTTCCTGCATCCGCGGATAATCAAAATCCAGAAGGTAGAAACTGGCAAGAAGTGCAAGTACTGCCTCATTCAAATTGGACATCTCCATGACATCTCATATGTATTGTTTCACGTTTTAAACACTGAAGACGTTCACAATCACATTATTTGTATGAAGGTGAATTTGTGTGCGATGACTGATCAGGATATAAAGTGACTGGTCAACAGGGATTTTTAGCCGGTCATTGACTGTTGACTGGCCGTTATCTGAGCCCTGGATGCATGCGACGAGGACAAGTTACCTAGCTGCTGGTCTACACTATTTAATATACTGTATCAAACAATTAAATAAATTAATGGAGAGAGTATAGACAGTACATATACACATGCCAAATTCAATGTTCTACTCTAAATCAGCCTTGAATTTTCGGAAACTTGTTAGTGCTGACTGAAATAAACCAGCAACCTCTTGAGGGTTAATGTCTTGAAATACATAATGCTGGAGAACAATTAATCCAATCTCCAGAAAGTGTGGATAATCAAAAACTAAAAGATAAAACTTGCCAGCACTGAAGTGCTTCATTCAGCTCTGTTACGTCCACTTCCGCCAGAATTCTCTTTCCAACAATAACACTGTAGGTAACATTTCGTCTTTTCCACCAAGAGGACAGGTACATTACCAGAACGTTTGGAGCACCAAACTTCATGATCTTCGTTATCCTAACAAAGAATTACATGGATGTACAGTATGCATGATATATGATTAATTACATAGATATAAAGTAAATATAAAGTAAAAATAAGATAGACTTTCACATTGGCTGTGTGAACAAAACAGACTTAAGACCCTCCTCCACTCATGGCAAAAACCAACTCGCAAGCTAGCTGCAAGAAATTTTATCCAATCACAATGCTCAACAGTTTATTTCAATCAGATGGAAGCAGTCACAGTGGGCTGGTCACTTGGTTTTGCAATGAGTGGAAAAGAGCTTTTAAATTGAAGATGTGAACATCAAGACAAGGTCAATTACTGCATGGTGGACAGATCTGGAAGCTAAATAAACTGCAATATTTTCACACCATCACACATCCTGAACAGGGCCGTACACAGTGGGGGGGGGGGTGGAGTGGGGCAGCTGCCCCCAAAGAAAACTATATTTACGATTTTTAGAATGTCATTATTAATTATTCTTTGGATATTTGGGACTTTTTTCAGCATATAGGCCTTACTGCCCCCTGGTGAAAAATTCTTGCGTATGAGCCTGAATCTAAATCTGTCTACTCTAATGTTGCAAAAGTTCACTCAGTATATAATTATGCTACTTAACCTATGCCTAAAACTTTCTATAACCCAGGAAAATGACATGGATGCAATAAATCTGTAAGCCTGAATTTACCAATTTATTTTCATAATTACAAACCTTTAGCGCTTGAACTTCTTAAATCCAGAGCTGAATATTCCATGCAAATGTTGAAAATTATGTATGATCTTAGAATCTATAAAAAATCAACATGTATTCAATTCAAAGCAAAATAGGAATGGATAAACTTGGCCGAATTAGCCCAGATATTATTTCTCTCCCCTCAGTTGGAAATAAGTAGGCATAAGAAATAAGATGTTAGTGATATTAACAGACCTATAGCAGTTTGCCAAATAAACATAAACTTCCTTAAATTTCTTGCCAATAATGCAGGGGGGGGGGGATTTCTTGTTAGTTTGTGGGTTAGCCTGTCCTGTGTGTTGCAATTCACACAGAAACTAGCCAGCTAGATTGCCGGATAGTTGAGGCCTGTAAATACAAAGTCGAGTGAGTTAGCCATGCAAGCAAGGCAAGTTATATACTGTTTGTATGGAATTGGCTTATATTGCATTTGCTAAGCAAATTCCATATAAACAGAAACTTAGCATTAAATTTGTGCAAACCACAAAGTCACTTAAAAGATTTAAAATCATTACATACAAAATATAATGATAATACAAGAATTAATGCCAAGAAATTCAGGAAAGCTGATATCTAATGATTCATATTTATTTGTAAGCTATTATTTTAAATGCGAGACAAATTTCTACCTTTCCTGAGTAAAGTGTTTACATGATTGGTAAAATAAGTCATTTCACCTGGGCGAGATTTTGTGTCTTTCTGCCAGAACTTGCCAAGGTGAGTTGCCAGCAGATTGTATCATATAAACTCACCTTGCCGGGTAACTTGCCTCCATTTAAACAGGCCCCTTATATAGACATTCTCATATGAACAACCCCTATAAACATGATTTTTTTGTGTTGGTCTTGTGTACTCAGGTGAATATGATATTTGTGATGTTACTCTGAGTGTGTATCCACACTGGGCAAGCTTGAAAAATATGCCTGGCCACAGTGGGAATCGAGCCTACGACCATTTGAATACTAGCCCAATGCTCTGCCAACTGAGCCACGCGGTCAGGTCGGCTCGAGTATGTGATATTTCGGAATTGAGTCTAGTTCCTTCAACTAACATCAATGTAATCTAATCATGATTTTTTTGTGTTGGTGTTGTGTACTCAGGTGAATATGATATTTGTTATGTTACTCGGAGTGTATACCCACACCAGGCATGCTTGACAAAATGCCTCGCCACGGTGGGAATCGAACCTACTAGCCCAATGTTTTGCCAACTGAGCTACGCGGTCAGGTCGGTTCGAGTATGTGATATTTCAGAACTGAGTCCAGTTCCTTCAACATCAATGTAATCTAATAATCATGATTTTTTTGCAGAGTATTGGGCTAGTACTCGAAAGGTCGTAGGTTCGATTCTCACTGTAGCCAGGCATATTTTTCAAGCTTGCCCAGTGTGGATACACACTCAGAGTAACATCACAAATACCGGTATCATATTCACCTGAGTACACAACACCAACACACAAAAAAATCATGATTATTAGATTACATTGATGTCGAAGGAAGTAGAGTCAGTTCCAAAATATCACATACTCGAACCAATCTGACCGGGTAGCTCAGCTGGCACAGCATTGGGCTAGTATTCCAAAGGTCGTAGGTTCGATTCCCACCCTTGCCAGGCATATTTTTGCCCAGTGTGGATACACACTCAGAGTAACATCATAAATATCAACTCCTATAAATTTTAATGTACCGGCAAATAAACACTATGAACTATCGAGTTTACACTTGAATCAGCATATATGTATCAATGGTCGACACGAAATCAGATTTGATTTAAACAGGAATACTGCACACTACTTGGTGTCGTTTTACATACTTTGAATACATGTGCATATACAGGCCTAGTACAGCATGCTCGAATATCGTCTTGAATATATGCACGTTCAAACTGCATGTTGTTTGTATAATTGAGATTTTAGCATTAACTGACAATAATCGGTATTTATTACCCGGCCATTTTTGTGTTTTGTTGAGAAAATATGTACGAGCAATGAGAATTGCCGAGTCGAGACTTGAGATGCATAACCAACGACGGGAAATCGACTGGTTGTTGCAAAACACTGGGCTTTCTAGTTTCTAATGCACAAAATATGAACAAAAAACATTACCTTGCCGTATCTGACCATATTCAATGCCTTCAGAAGTAATTTGGCCAAGTAAAGATGCGTTTAGGTGTCCAAAATTAACATTTTCAACGACCATAATTTACACTATAAGCTCTTTGTTCCAAAGTCAAACCGCCGAAGGATCAAAGTTTAAATTGCTGCGTCTTACCCAGAGTCGCCTGCGCTCCTTCGCCCAGCGACTACGCTCGTGTTCAAGGATCCACCATGTAAAGTGTAGTGAAATGTATCTCACTAAAGCCTCTGCTGTGCCTCTGCGGAGGAGAGACCCAGAGTCCTCTAAGCTCTGGCTTATTATGGCAATTATTATGGTTTTACTTTTTATGAAAATGCTGAGATCCATTTGATTGCGATTCATACTACAATATGGAGTCCGAATAACAACAGAAACACCTGATCGGTTGAAATTATTGTGTGTATAAAAAATTATATAGAAACTATAACGATTAAAAATCGTAATATGCATGTGCATGCCTGGTGCAATTTGTACTTAATTCAAGAATATTGCAAAAGCAACTTCCTTATTTTAAGAAAGATAATCTGCATTGAGGAAATTAATCATTCCATCAACCAAGAAACGGTTAATTAATGTATATATTTTCAAGAGAAAACGTCTTATGAGTTATGTTGAAAAAACGAGGTTCGCTTTAATAAAGCATGCATGCAGTTAGAGGAAATAACTTATTATTTTAAGAAAACAGTTATATGTGGAATCATGGATAATTAAATAAATATAGTTGTTTTACAATCCATGGTGGAATTAACTATATTATATACGAAGTATTTTTCTTCAGAAATAATTTTCTTATTTTAAGAAAACGGAATCTTAAATCAAGAAATATTTTTTTAAGAAATAATTTTCTCATTTTAAGAAAACAGTTATCTTAAAACAAGAAGTAATTTTTCTTGAGAAATAATTTTCTCATTTTAGGAAAACAGTTTTCTTAAATTAAGAATAATTTTTTTCTTAAGAAACGATTTTCTCATTTTGAGAAAACATTTTCTTAAATTAAGAAAAGAAGTTTTCTTAAGAAATAAGTTTCTCATTTTAAGAAAATATTTTCTTAAATTAAGAAAATAATTTTTCTTAAGAAATTGATTTTTTGCTGTGTACCCATTAATAAGGTGCTACAACATAAACAACAAACGAACACGGACCGACTTAACCAAACAAAACCGAGGATTACACTTCCTTACATACACACTACATCAGAAATGGCAGCTAGACTCCTCCGACCTTTCAACATTGACGTTGCACACAAACCAACATGCAAACTTAGGTCCAACTTCACTAAACACAAAGACAAGACACATATAACGGATAAACATAACGCCATTTATATCTTCCTGCGCAAAAACTGTCTGGATAAGTACATTGGACAAACTTCTAAAAAGATTCAGACAAGACTAACAGAACACGAACGCAATCAACAGACACGACCATAGCTCACTTTCAGCTAAACACACAGACGACAACGGACACAAATTCGACTGGTCTCAAACGAGATGCCTAGGACAAGCCACTACTAAACATGCCCGTGAGTATAAAGAAGCTTGGTATAGTTTAGACAAACAAACATTTAACCGTCACATTGACATCTCTACAATTTACTTACAACTGAAACGCTCTCACAAATCTCCTAATTCATCTTCATTAACCTTTAACCCACCCTCAACTTCCTTCCCTACACCGTCTCATGATAACAATAATCACCCGCATTCGATAGTAACTAATGGCAACCAACATACTGAAATCCATCAACCAATCAGACTTTCCCACAGACTTCAACAACGTCAACAACAGCGCGAAAATTCAAATGAACAATCTTTCTGATGAAGGCTCGAAGTACCGAGTCGAAAGCTCAAAACAAATTATTTCAATTCGGAGAACACTGTATAATTTTGTAAAAATTATAATTTAATAAAATGCCTGGATTACAAATCTTCAAATCTATTATATATATATATATATATATATATATATATATATATATATATATATATATATATATATATATATATATATATATATATATATATATATATATATATATATATATATATATA